ACACACACACACACACACACACACACACACACACACACACACACACATATTTGCTGTTGAGAATTGATAACAGATTCCTAAGAGGAAAATCATGACTCTTTTCATTTGATTTCAGTTAATAATGGGACTTGGTACCCAGGGGGCGGAGAAGAAGAGCGCAGCATCTATTGCCTGTTTTTTGGCTGCCAATGGTGCTGACCTTAGCATTCGAAATAAGAAGGGCCAATCGCCACTTGATCTCTGTCCTGATCCAAGTCTCTGCAAAGCACTGGCAAAGTGTCATAAGGAAAAAGTCAGGTTTGTATCATTTATTTTCATAAAACTTACTATTCTCTCTCTATATAAAGTACCATGTGGTTTCATAATGGAGAGCTTAATTATTTGAAAATGTCTTTTTCTTTGTTCATCATGTTTGTGTTGACCCTTTCTTAAAAATTTTCCTGCAAGACACTATGTCTCTTATTGCGTGTTGTATTCTCTATATTACTGAATATGACACTTTATGCTTAGGAAGTGCTAAGAAACTTTCCTAACTCTGTCTGATCTACTAGTACTCCTGCATGTTCAAGAAATTTATCTATAAGAAAAATTTTTACTAGTGAAATTGCTGTGACTGTTAGATATATTTAAAATTTTAATAGACTTTAAAAAATATATATTTTATTTATTTATTTGACAGAGACAGAGTGAGAGAGGGAATACAAGCAGCGGGAGTGGAAGAGGGAGAAGCAGGCTTCCTGCTGAGCAGAGACCCTGATGTGGGGCTCAGGGTCCTGAGATATGATCTGAGCCAAAGGCAGCCGCTTAATGACTGAGCCACCCAGGCACCCCTTTAATAGACTTTTTTAGGAGAGGCAGTTTACATGCTCACCAGTAAGGTGTATCTTACACAAACTTAGTAATAATTCTAGCACCCTACATAGTGCCTGACAGGCACCAAGTATCACTGAAGGACTGAATGAATTTGAAAGAATGAGCACATGATGGAACCAATTCCTGATGGAGCAGTCTCTAAAAATGATTTCACACTTGTCTTCTTTTCTAAAAGTAAAATATGTCAGTGATTTTAATTATTATTTATAATACAACTGATTTTCTTATGAGATATTGTAGACATACAAAAAGGTATATTTCATTACCTTTTTTATCTAAACGGTGCTGTGCAATTATTATTGCCCTTTATATCTGGTTCTTGTCATTGAACATTTTAGTAGTTGTCCCTTGATTTTTGTGTTCTCTTGCCTCTTTTGTAATTTGGGTGTAGTGATAAATAACTTCTTGTTGGAATCAATACCTTAGAATTTTGTGAAGGGGGAAATTAACATATATATATATATATATATATATATATATATATATATATATATAAAAGGTATATACATTTCTGTAAGTGAATATCCTTAAGGAATGTAAACTTGTATTACAAAATGATGTCATGCATCTAAAATCATAGAAGGCACCATAATTACTGCCGTAATAACCTTAACACTGGTGTCTGAGATGAAAGGGCTTTGTCTATGTGTGTGTGTTCATGAGTTTCTGAAGATTGTGGTAGAAACAGAGTATCCCCTTTCTATAGCTGTACTTGGTCATTTTATGTATTTCTTTGTCTTGTATTTATAGATTTATAGATGAGTTCTGTCTTTACATAGTACAATTTTATGCTCCTAAGGATACATTTAAAGAAATGTCAAAACAGCAGCTGCAGTGACACATTTTCCACAGTGCCCTGTCAGTTATGGACTCTGCTGGAGGCTTCATTCTGTCTGTAGTTAGGATAACTAATGTGGGCTCTAGCTAGAATTTTTGTTTTATTCCTCTGCTCATCTCTGCTGGTTCTATATAAGTGAAACAGAGTCTGAGTGAAACTGTGTTCATGTTAAATTTTTTGTAGGTAGTGTTTTTGATTTCTTTGTTAGAAGAAAATATACCCATTTCTGTTGGGTGAGCTATTTGTTCAATTTGAAATTTAAGTAGTACTAGAAGTATGTAAAGATGCAGAGATGTATATAAATGGAAAAATATATAGTGTTTCTTAAACAGATGTTACAGCTTGATTTAGCATAACGAAAGCTGTGTTATACAAATGATGCTCTCGATGTTTTTAAAAGCATTTTAATTAATATAAATATTCTGATAGGATTGATTATAAATATTTTCTTTTGTTAGTGGTCAAGTGGGTTCTCGAAGTCCTTCTATGATTAGTAATGATTCTGAAACCTTAGAAGAATGCATGGTGTGCTCAGATATGAAGAGAGATACTCTTTTTGGGCCATGTGGACATATTGCTACCTGTTCTTTATGTTCTCCACGAGTCAAGAAATGCCTCATCTGTAAAGAACAAGTTCAGTCCAGGACAAAGGTAATGTATTTTTAATATAGTATTTTATCATTTTATGAAGTTCTTTCAGACTATAAATAATGATAAGTAAGTTTGTATGATGCCATATGTCTGTTAAATTTCAGTCTAAGAGTGATTTAAATATAAGAATATATAATTTATTTATCAAGAGAATAATTTTGAGTTTCCTTCTTTAAATGTAAACTATAGAAGTTAAAAATAAAATCTACTATATTGCTTCTAAAGTCTTATAACCTAGAGATTTATTGGGTTCCATTTTTTTATTGTAGTTACATATATTTTATACTTTTTTTGAGTACATAGACTCTCATACTCATCTTTATAAAAGTCCACTTGATTTTTTTTTTTTTTTTGTAGAATGTCATACATTCTGGATTTGATTATTTTAGCATAGTGTCATTTAATTCGTCTCTTTATCCTCTGTGTTTTCTGTAAATTCTAAGTTAGATCTAATGGCTTGATTAGAGTCCGCTTAAACATTTTGTGCAAGAAATTCTCATAGATGATGCTACTCACTTAATATTGTGTCCCTCCAAGATGCAGATAAAGTCTGATCATCTTGCTGTTAGTGAAGGCCAAATTCTGTATCCACTCTGAACTTTTTATCTTGTCTGACTCTTTGCTTTTTGAGAAGTATTATTCTTTTCTTGGTTTCTGATTCCATCTTTTTCCTGTATAACTTAGTGCTTTATCATAACTATACCATCTTCTCCATTTTGGCTGTACTAAAATAATTGATTTTCCTTTTTAGTTTTTCTATATATGTATGTAAAGTGGGATTTAAGTTTTTTAGAAATAATTTTTCTTAAGATGAGTAGCTTAAACCGAAAGATATGTTTGGTTTTCTTTGGTATCATTTGTGAAATTTATCCTCTTTTTTCATTCCCTTCTTATTATTCTCATTTTTCCCTGATGTTTCTTAAACTGTTCATTTACCTTCATTAATGAGAAAGGAGCTGCACTAATTCTTATAATAAATTAGCTGGCAGTGACTTAAAAGGCGTTATCTTGCCAATGATTTGTACACTTTCATAGGGAACCTTAAGAGTAGAAGACTGTTCCTTCTAAGCAACAGTTTGAGAATGAATCTGAAAGAATTTAAGCCATTTTCTTATTTGTAGATTGATCTGTGTATTCTGCTGTTACGCTTGAAACTTTTTGTGTTAGATTAAACCCTATTTCAGCAAGTCTTTATTGAGCCCTTGTTTTGTAGTGAAGACAGAGGTATACATAATTCCTTACTAAAAAATTGTAACCTTCTGAGACTTAGATTAAGCTACTCTGCCATATAAGGTAGTATAGGTGCTTTAAGAGAGAGATAAGTGAGTTCAGAGCCCCAGGTTGTCCGCTGGAAGCCCCAGCTCTAGGATTCATAGTTGAAAAACTTGAAGCTCAGAGACATTCACTCAGAATATCAGACATAGGGCGCCTGGGTGGCTCAGCGGGTTAAGCCTCTGCCTTCAGCTCAGGTCATGATCCCAGAGTCCTGGGATTGAGTCCCACATCGGGCTCTCTGCTCGGCAGGGAGCCTGCTTCCCCTCCCCTCTCTGTCTCTCTGCCTGCTTGTGATCTCTCTCTCTCTGTCAAATAAATAAATAAATAAAATCTTTAAAAAAAAAAAAAAAGAATATCAGACATAGATCTCTTGATTCTTCAATCCTTGTTCTTTCTGCTGTGTGGTGATAGACACAATTAAGAACTGTCTACGGAGGGAAGATTGATGGAACAGGGAAGTAGAAAGGGAGGAATATGCTGTCATTCTGTTTTAGACCACTTTTCAGTTCCAAGAATTAGTAGACTGTCAGTTTGACTTTCAGATTAAGAAATTTTCAAACCTGTAGAAAAGTACAAAAAGTAATATACCCGCCAGATAGATTTGCCAGGTTAGCTGCAGAGCCTTTGAATATAAAGAAATAGTGACCCCAAGTGGTTAAAGGATAATGAACATCTTCATTAAAGATATAACAAATTATAAAACTGGTATTTAGAGGAAGGGGGAATAAACAAGCTTTGTCTCTTTAGCAATTAAAGAAATGTAAATAAAAAATTATGAATTACCATTAACCATTCCTATCAAATTAGCATAAGTAAAATTTTACAAATGCTAGCCAGGAAAGCGGAAAATGAATACTCTTAAACACTCCTGGTGGTGGAATAAATGGGTTCATGATTTTGAGAGACCATCCTGACAATATTTATGAGCCTTTACAGTAAACATACTCTTACTTGGTAATTCTTTTCCTGGGAATATAACCTGAGGAAAAAATCCAAAGGGGAAAAAAGTTAAGGCTACAAAGATTTTAAACACCTAAAATATATATATACACATATTATATATATTAGGGGATTTGGTAAGTAAATGATTGTTTAATCAATTTGCTGGATTATTTTAAACTTTTTATGAACAATTCAGATGTATAAACAGTTGCTTTGGAAATCTTTTAAAGAAATAGCACATCATTGTATAGAGAGAAGAAAAGAATTATCATGCTTTGGACACTGATATTGTATTAGGCATTGAACTAAACACTCCACACATAATACCTGATTTACCCTTTACTACCCTGTGAAGAAAGGTTGTTCTTTATCATTCAGATAAAAAGAGCTGTGGCTCAACAATGTTAGATATATTTGTTACTAGTGGAGCTATAGTTTGAATCTAGGAATATAAAGGATCTAGGAATATAAAAACCCACCATGTCTTACTTCTTTCCCCTGTTACTCAGCTATGGAAATTCTATGTACAGAGCAAGGTATAAGTTGGGAGAGTCCGTGAAGAGCATGTGTACACTATTTGATTAGTTAGGTGAGATTATAGGTGACTGGTGGTCATCACTTTTGGACAGTAGTATGAAGTGGCACAGATATAGGTAAATGTAAACGTGTATCAGAAGAGAGGAGAACAGGTGAAAGATGAACAGAAGAGAGGAGAACAGGTGAAAGATGAACAGAAGAGAGGAGAGCAGGTGAAAGATGAATCAGAAGAGAGGAGAACAGGTGAAAGATGCAAGGGCAGTGGGTTGGGTGGGGGTGAGAAAAGCCGAGCCAGGTTAAGAAGTAGCTACGCACTCAAAACTCTGAAGAAGTGGAGATGAAGAGGAGGTAAAATTGAGGGAAATTATGAATAGGTTGTGGAAGACTTGTGACTTTAGAGATTAGGGAGAAAGAACAGCCCGAGCCATGCACTCCCACCAGTGTGGGGGAGCTAACCAAGTCCAGGGAAAGTTCCTCCGATGTGAAGAAACAGAAATTCCACATGGGCTCTGGCCGTCTGCTAATCTGACTGGGTTTTTATTAATATTAGAAATCTAGCTTATCTTATATTTATTTTTATACTCCTTTATTTGTTTTTTGAATTTTTCTGTCAAATTAGTTTTGGGGGAAAAAAGTCTATTTTGGTCTTTCTTACCACAGAGGAAATGCAGTTTTCTTTATCATTCTTTGGGATAGATAGGGAGACTAATATGGAAATAGAACCTGTGAAGGGTCAGGGTATATAAGGGTAAAAAAATGAGTAACCAAAAGAACAGAGGACGGAGGAGGAGTACATATTAAGTTTCCTGTGCTGAGAGTGTTGCCGTATAGAAGAAATACACTTGGATACAAAAGGAACTGTTAGAGTTAGGAGGTTTATCTATAGATGTTCACACTTGTGCTGTAACCACTTTTTTGCAGATTGAAGAATGTGTGGTATGCTCTGACAAGAAAGCAGCTGTTCTTTTTCAGCCTTGTGGACACATGTGTGCTTGTGAGAGTAAGTAGCCTATACAAAACTTACTCAGTATAAAAATAGAAAATAAAATTATAGCTTGGAGAGTTTTGTTTTGTTTTGTTTTGTTTTAATAACCCATGAACAAAAACATTGGTGGCCTCTATAGTACCTTCCATCTCTTCCTCTGTACTATGTATAATGTCACCTGTGTCCTTCCTTGCTCCTGAGTGTTAGCAAAGACAGAATAAGCCAGCTTCTACTAACTCACCTTTTGATTCATTTGTATCAGCACAAAATGATCTCCTCACACACTATAGAAATTTATTTCCAAAAATGAATTTTGAAACATTGAGTCTAGCCCTGCTCACAATTAAAATCAGCACATTCTCATTTGTCTTCACCTTGATATTGCCCTCCTGCATACTTTCCCCACTACTGAGAACCACCACAGCAACCATTTGGCACTATAATGTCTGGCCTTCTTAATCTTTTTCTTAATCTTTATGTCAGAAGAGGTTATAGGACTTTTGGGGAGAGTATATTAAAGTACAAGTGATGTTTTAAAATATCTCTTAAACATATTCTTTCAAATGCCTTTGCTTTTTTTTTTTTTTTTTAAATATTAACATATAATGTATTATTTGCCCCAGGGTACAGGTCTGTGAATCATCAGGCTTACATATTTCACAGCGCTCACCACAGCACATACCCTCCGCAGTGTCCATCACCCTCACCCTCTCCATCCATCACCCAGACACCCTCTCCCTACATCCCCACCCCAGCACCCCTCAGTTTGTTTCATGAGATTAAGAGTCTCTTATGGTTTGTCTCCCTCCCCATCCCATCTTGTCTCATTTTTTCATTGTCTACCCCCAGGATCCCTCCGCTCTGCCTCTCAAATTCCTCATATCAGAGAGATCATACGATAATTGTCTTTCTCTGATTGACTTATTTCGCTCAGTATAAACCCTCTGTTCCATCCATGTCTTTGCAAATGGCAAGATTTCATTTCTTTTGATGGCTGCATAGTATTCCATTGTATATATATACCACATCTTCTTTATCCATTTATCTGTTGTTGGACATCTAGGTTCTTTCCATAGTTTGGCTGTTGTGGACATTGCTGCTATAAACATTCGGGTGCACGTGCCCCTTCGGATCACTGCATTTGTATCTTTGGGGTAAATACCCAGTAGTGTGATTGCTGGGCTGTAGGGTAGCTCTATTTTCAACTTTTTGAGGAACCTCCATGCTGTTTTCCAGAGTGGCTGCACCAGCTTGCATTCCCACCAACAGTGTAGGAGGGTTCCCCTTTCTCCACATCCTCGCCTTTGCTTTTTATACTTCCCTTTGTTCTTTACATATTCATGTACTGTTCAACATTCTCCTCTCCCTTTTGTTTTCATTTATCAATGAAGGATTTTAAGCAAGTTTAACAACTTATACCTTACTTAAATGGGCTCAATGTAAAGCATGGTATTTCCTATTTTAAAATGGTTCAAGGGGCGCCCGGGTGGCTCAGTTGGTTAAGCGTCTGCCTTCATTCAGCTCAGGTCATGATCTCCGGTCCTGGGATGGAGCTCCCAGTAGAGCTCCATATTGGGCTCCCTGCTCAGTGGGGAGTCTGCTTCTCCCTTGCCCTCTGTCATTCCCTCCAACTTCCCGCTCATGCGCTTGTTCTCTCATAAATAAAATCTTAAAAAAGTTCAGTCAGTAGGTACTGATTTTTAATATAATATCTAAGTAATACACAAATTGTATGATAGATTAATCTCATTGGCATAGATTTGCTTTAAGCCTTGGTGATTTTTTTCATTCTGATAGGAGCTCATCAGCTAAAGAAAGGATCAAGGTTTCCTTCTGTACCATTCTCCTCACATAATTGTTTTTGTTTTCCAAAGACTAGTATAATGGCTATTATCAACTATAGGAGGACTTGTGGATTTCGGTCTTAAGTAAAAAGAGCTCAGGTTACTTAAGTTTTCGTAGTCTAGGGGCTAGCATACTTTTTCTTTAAAGGGTCACATAATATTTTTGACTCTGTGGGCCATGTGTTCTGTAGTAACTACTTAAAACTCTTTCCTATTACTCAGCTGTGCCATTATAGTGCAAAGACAACCATAGATGATAGATATGTCAATGAACAGATGGGACTGCTTTTCATTAATACTTTATTTACAATAACGGGTACCTGGGGGCACCTGGGGGGCTTAGTCTGTTAAGCATCTGTCTCTTGATCTTAGCTCAGGTCTTGATCTCAGGACTGTGAATTCAAGCCCCTGTGCCTAGGGCTGCACATTGGGTGTGGAGCCTACTTAAAAAAAAAAAAAAAAAGTCTGAGCAAAAACAGGCACCTGGTTGTGTTTGGCCTGGAGGCTGTAGTTAGTCACTCCCACCCCCCCCACCCCCACCCCACCCCCTGCCCTGTCCTGGACCTAAGTGAGACCTACAGAGACTTGAAAGTGGTAATAATGAGTGGTTGATAATACAAATTTTCAGCCCTCACTGCAGTACTTTCTCCAGGAGTTTCCCAAAGTTTTTACATTGTCTTTTCATTCATATGTAACAAGAGTAGCAGCTAATTTTTATTAAGCTCTTACCTTGTACCAGACATTTTTTTTTTAAGAGAGAGAGTGCGTGCGCGCTTGTGCGCACCAGGGGAGGGGCAGAGGGAGAGGGAGAATTTTAAGCAGTTTGTCTCCACATTTAAGCAGTTTGTCTCAACATCTAGCATGGAGCCGGACATGGGGCTTTATTTCATGACCCTGAGATCATTACCTGAGTCAAAATCAAGTGTACCCCTAACCCACTGAGCCACCCAGGTGCTCCAGATATTTTAATCTCTTTTAGAGTGTTTCCTCATTTATTTTCACAACACTAAGAAGTAGGTTGTTTTCTCCATTGTATAGACACATCGTTATAAACATTTATTAGCTAAGGAAGATGAAATTGAGGTGGAAAATGCCTGTCTTTCAGGGACTGTATAGTGAAGCACTTAGTCCATTACCTACATCCCAGGAATGTGAAGCAGAGTATTGGAACCTTGAAGAGTACAAAATAGTGCCTTGACAGGCCAGAAGGAGGAAAGAATGTATCTGTTTTGGAGGGAAAGAAGAAAGATTTTATATAAGCAATATAACAACCTAACATAATAGTTAAAAGAATTTGAGATAATTGTGGTTATATATTATGCAGTGAGCCACTTAAATTAGTTCTTTAAATTTTTAAGAAAAAGATTTGCCCTCAGATATAAGACAAATCCCAAATGAGGTTTCTACTAGCATTAGCTCCTACCTAGTGCATTATGCGTAAACCAGCATCAGACCCATCTCTCTTTAGGCCTTGACATGAGATTGGCCTTGATTACCCTTCTCTGTCCTCTGGCATAAGCACCATTGGGAGTATGTCCCTCATGTTGTCCACGTCTGTGGTTTTGTGCTTTGTTAAAGTTTAGTGCCTGATCATAAATTATCCCTGGATACCTGTCACAGTTGTCATTTATTTTCCTTGTTTTTGAAATAATAAAGACACTTGGTGCATAGACTAAGAATATGGAGTATACTTTCATAGTAAATGCTAATGGGAAAGGATATATTGAACTGTATGTTATTTCATAAATAATTAACAACTAGATGTAGAATTAACAATCCACAACCTATAATTGTGCCTAGGCATTTCTTCTTTGGGATGGGAGAGCATTCCTCTGATATATAAATATTAGAAAGTCCATTATGATACATATCTGATGTTTTCTTGACCACTACTTTGAAAAAGTGGTTACTAAACAATTTCCTTACTAGATTACATCAGTTTACTAGAGAGGGAAGAGAATTCTTCAACATAGTTTATGTGAACAACCGTATAATTAATTCTATATTAGTTAAAACTTAGAAGTATCTTTCTCCTTTATTCTCAAGCCTTAAGATCTTGAAATATTTTTTATTTAAAAAAAAAAACACAGAAAAATCCCTTTTCACAATTTGTCTAACGTGTTAGAAAATGTCATTATTTTCATAACAATGGGCTCTCTCTTCTAGAGGCTGCCTATGGAGAATATATTCATAGGTTGATAACATTTTAAGAAGGTAGAATCGTGTATTCATAGAAGTCGTTTGATTATCTCTGTGAGATTTCAGTTACAAAACTGAGAAGGGCAGCCCTCTTGTTTGCATCGTCTCTTATAAGAAGTATCCTATTGTTCTTCCGCAGACTGTGCTAGTCTGATGAAGAAGTGTGTGCAGTGTCGGGCAGTAGTTGAACGAAGAGTGCCTTTCATTATGTGTTGTGGAGGGAAAAGTTCAGAAGATGCCTCTGATGACATCTGTAAGTGTATTTTCTTGAGCTTTTTCTTACTTTGTTTTCTTGTTGGGACTTTCATGAAGATCTCATCTCATGTGTAGTACACTTCTGCCTTGTAAAGCACAGGGTACGTGACCCGAATCTACAGAGCAACAGGGGGGGTTTGCTCTTGTTACAGGAAACTTGAAATTTTATTTTTCTAGCTTACACTATGATAGAACTTGAAGCATTTGTCTTTTGAGAAACTTCCATGTAGGATATGAAGAAAATTGTTGTATTCTTGCTTAAAGAAAATGTGCTCTTTTTAAGATTAAATTTAGTGTATCTTGGCGGAATAGCGTATTACAAATTATTTTTTCAGTTACACAAATATTAATGCCTCATTCCTTTGTGTAGCAGGTTTTACCTAGTGCATGTCCATATTTTATAGAGTAGTATTTATTTAGGACAGAGTAACTGTAGATATCCTGAAGTGTAACTCAGTGAAGAAGTGGAAAAATAAAAAGTAAGTTATTTACTTTTCAATCTTCTTAATACTATAGCTGTATAAAAATATTTTTCATCTCTGCACTAGATATAAACTTGGATGGTATCTTTGATTTTTTGTTCTGTGTACACATGAGGAAGAACATTAGCATAACCACTTTTGCCCAGGGCTTTCTGTCTTTATCAGCAGTAGAGTAGAATAAAAATCCCAGGGACAAATTTAACTAGAGTTAAGAGTAAAAGTCTGAAGAGTAGTTACAATCGAAATAAAAAATTTCCCACCATTTACCAGACTCACTGATCACAGCTTTTCTTTCATGGAGTTCCTCATCTCGGATCAGTAGCAAGGAGGGTTGGGCAGGGGGAAGAAGCCTAGGTTTTTGTGTGTTCTCATAAACATCATCTAAGAGACTTTATAATTTTTGCTGCCAAAACTGGCTAAAAAGTGCTGTGCTGTCAACATTCGTCAGTTCGTACAATGCAGGAGCAGAGAAAACAAGCATAAAATGTATTTGTGAGCTTGCCAAAGGAAGCAGGTAGTACCTTGGAAAACCCAGAAATCTGTGTGTAGATTGTTGTCTGGCTGAGTTAAATATAATTAGAAAATAATGTGCAAACCTATTTCTTTCTGAAGATTATAAATGAATGAGTATAATATGAATGTCACTACTGTATCTGTTGTCCATGAATGAGAAAAATTTTTAAAGAGGACTTTAATAATATTCTTGTGTTTTTAATAAAGCAGTAATAATTTTAGAAATAAAAAATCATTGCTATGTCAAAACAATCATACATTAAAATATTTTATTTATATTATAGCAAGTGGAAATATTCCAGTGTTACAAAAGGACAAAGATAATACCAATGTCAATGCAGATGTGCAAAAGTTGCAGCAGCAGTTACAGGACATTAAAGAGCAGGTAATAATTTTTCTTCTTGGTAAATGATGATTCTAAGAATGACACTCAATATTTTTCTGTAAAACTACTAGTGTTTTATGTAGTAATCATGGTTTATATTAGGGTATCAATTATAGTGTTTGAATATTTGCAAAAGGTAATATTCAAAGATTTAATCAGGTACTTTCCAAAATAAGAAACGCATGGATGACCAATAAATGTGAAAAATGCTCAGATTAGTCATCAAGAAATGAAAGTTGAGGTGCCTAGCTGGCTCTGTCAGTAGAGCATGTACTCTTTTTTTTTTTTTTTTTAAGATTTTATTTATTTGACAGAGATTTCAAGTAGGCAGAGAGGCAGGCAGAGAGAGAGGAGGGGAAGCAGGCTCCCTGCTGAGCAGAGAGCCCAATGCGGGGCTCGACCCCAGGACCCTGGGATCATGACCCGACCTGAAGCAGAGGCTTTTACCCACTGAGCCACCCAGGCGCCCCGAGCATGTACTCTTGATCTTAGGGTCGTGAGTTTGGGCCCCACTTTGGGCATAGATCTTACATTAAAAAAAAAAGAAGAAGAAGAAATGAAAATTAAAACTACAGTTAGGTGTCTTTTCTCACCTGCCTGACTGCATGGAAAACTCATGTTAGAAATTGTCAGTACAAAGTGTTAGAATATGTAGCAGCCGCAACTCACATGATGCTGTTGAGAATATAAATTAGTAAAAACACTTTGGAAAAGTTGGTCATTATATAACTAAGCAGGATATCGTTTGGGGACACAAACTTGGAAACAATTGTACAGATGGTGTTTAAAACCAAGGGTAGTGGTTTTCTTGGCTGGGATGGCGGGAAGGGAGCACAAGGGACATTTCTTTATAGAGGGATAGATAAAGTGCTGATTACATACGTCTGATCAGTTTGTGAACTTTTATCAGACTGTACATTTATGATTTGTGCACATTTCTGTATAGATGTGATACTTAGGTAGAAAGTAGAATCCATACACACACACATATACACATATACATATTCTCTCTTTCTCTCTCACACATGCACACCATAAAGAAAAGCAAAGGAAAGAAAAATGCAATATTTAGAATAGTTGGTATCGGTGAGGGGTAGATGGAAAGCATTTGGGAGGATGTATGGAGTAGTTTCAAAAGATAGGGTAGCTCCCTGGTATTGTCGAAGTTGGTTAACTATATTTCATATAGGCTTTAGTCTTGATTTATTGATTTAGATATTCTTTTTTAGTTATTTCATTTCTGTGTTACTTGGGAAAAGATAATAATTCAGAATGAAGTATTGTAGTATATTAAGGTAAAATATATTTTTATAACTATAAAGTATGAAATATGTTATTGTGAATCAATATCTTTCCTAGAGTGTTTTCACAGAAGTACATCTAACATACTTCTAAATTTTTCTGAGTTCCTGAAGTTACATTTATTAATATGTAACTAAGGCTAATTGTTTTTAACCTAAGGGGGTTCTACATTAATAGTAATCCAGGGAAGCATGTTTCAGAGCAAGAGCTCTGGGCTCCAGAACCCCGTTCACACCGTGGAAGGTGTTTAGCCCCACCAGAGCCTCAATTTCCTCGTTTTTAAAGTGGGAGTGATAATAGGTCTGAGATTGTATCATAGTGTGTGGCATGTGTTTTTAGGGACATCTCTTCACTGCTCCCCTTCTCCAGCAGGCCTGATAGATTGTCATATTTTCATACAAGAACAGCAGAGTACTCCAGAGTTGGGGAGTTAGACTAAATTTGGCTATTTTTGTCCATTTCCTGTTGGATTTGGGCATTTGCATTTTTTAAAAGATTTTATTTATTTATTTGAGAGAGAATGAGAGAGCACAAGAAGGGGGAGGGTTAGAGGGAGTAGCAGACTCCCTGCCTAGCAGGGACCCCGATGTGGGACTCGATCCCAGGACTCCAGGATCATGACCTGAGCCAAAGGTAGTCGCTTCACCAACTGAGCTACCCAGACATCCCATGGCATTTGCATTTTTTATTTTATATAGTATTTATTTTAGATAGTGCCTTTGATATAGTCCTGACAGTAAAACCAATATTTCTATTTTATAGGGATGACATTTTAACTGTTTAAAATTTTTAAAATTGGGTGTCTCGGTGGCTCAGTCACTTAAACGTCTGTCTTCAGCTCAGGTCATGATCCCAGGGTCCTGGAATGCAGTCCCACATTGGGCTCCCTGCTCAGCGGGGCATCTACTGCTCCCTGTGACCCTCCCGCCTCTTGTGCTGTCTCTCTTTCACTCCCTCTCTGAAATAAATAAATAAAATCTTGGGAAAAAAAATAAAATTTTTTAGATTATTATTTTTTTTAATTTTAGAGTAACAAAAGGTTGAAACAGCAAAGAAAATGATGTTACAAAATTGTTACCTATTAGAGTTTCAAACCATAAAATGTCTCAGCATTTATTACTTTGTTATCTCACATTCCAGACCATGTGCCCTGTGTGTTTGGATCGTCTGAAGAATATGATTTTCCTCTGTGGCCATGGAACGTGCCAGCTCTGTGGAGACCGAATGAGTGAATGTCCTATTTGTCGCAAGGCTATTGAACGAAGGATTCTTTTGTATTAAGAAACTGTGTTTTCTTAGCTGAAGTATTTGGTCATGAGCTCTTCTTAGTAAGCCATTAAGCTAGTTGGAGGTTCTAATGAATTAATTTTTAATATCATAGTTTCTTTCCTAGAGTGTAATTAGACTGTAAATGTGCCAGAACAAAAAACCTCTACAAGACAGTGTTTGAAGCTGTGGTTTTTGTTTTTGTTTCTTTTAATTTGAAACATCAAATCCATGTAATTCATAGATAATTTACTTGTTGCTTCTAAGGGGAAAATCCTTTAAGGATCTCCTGTTGTTTTTGTTTTTATTGCATTTTTTTCTTATAGTTTATAAATTTGTTAGACCTCAAGAAATGTAGTTCCTTATGATCAGCTATCCTTCAGTTTATATGATTTTACACAGTGGGTTGACATAGGTACTCAGAACAGTCATGCAGCGAATGAACGGGGCAAGTCAAACCATTAGGTCACATGTGTTAAATGACAAAATTAGAATATAAGTTATACATAGTTAATACTGCAGAGAGGATTATCTTTTTTAAGATAAAAAGTTATACAAATGATTGATTCTGAATTTTTAGAGTAAATGGAAGCATGGAATGAGAGAGTAGTGACTTTGCATTTAGCTTAATTTCTAGACTTAAAAGGAAAATTGTTTAACTTGAACCAAATTTCAAGATGATTGGAAAGGAAAAATAAGCAATCATAGTGGGGTACTGAAGTGGGGGAAGTGGCCAAAAATGAGTACCTATTAACTGACCATTAACAGTTGCCTTTCATATATGTTAATCTATACACTATTCTGTTTACCAACCATTAAAAAAAAAAAAGTCTGTGAAAAGTGTACCTCAGTTTTCCCTGTGGTTACTTATCCAGACTTAATCTGACCAGTGAAACAGTGTTGCCCTCTTTGGGCATCTGAGGTCTCATGTAGCTTTTCTTGGGTACTGAATAGTACCCCAGTGATCTGAGAAGGATAACGCATTGTCCCAAAGCAGCAATCTTTTTCTTGTCCCTGTCTGTTCATTCTGACAGTGATACTGGTTCTGTCTTCATCATAAGCCCTACTTCCATTTTCTTTCAGTTGCTAAGGCTGGTAAGAAAACACTATCTTTATACCAACAGGTGAGGATATTTAAATTGCCAACAGTATCCAAGACATAGTAAGTAACCTAACAATAAATACTTATTTTAGAAAGCGTGACCAGGACATTTACAGAAATATGTCTGATTACCTGTAGTTTCTTTTTTGTTTGTTTTTTAAACTCAGACTGATTCTAGAGCATCTGGTCATTTTCCTGCCTTTGAATGAGTAGTCTTACTCTGTCTATAGGACGAATCTACATTTAATAAGTGTTTTGGGGTCATTGCTGCTAGATTATAAAAATATCAGCTGTTTACAGTGATGTCTACTATATACTATGTACAAGCTTATTCCTAAGGGTGTAGTTATCTGGTATTTTTTTCCTTTCTTTGATTCTGGTTCTTCTTTTTTCTTTTTCTTTCTTTTTGTTTTTTTGTTTTGTTTTGTTTTGTTTTGTTTTGCTTTGTTTTGTTCTGTTGTTACAACAACAAAATTTAAGAATATTCCTGGCAAGTTAATGGCTTTTGCCTTTGCAAGTCCTGGTGAAAATAGTGGTGAGCTTTGCTGGCTGATTTTTTAGTCTCGGTAATTCCGTATCTGTGTTTAGCTGAATAACTTAGGATTTAGAACAATAAAATTTTTATAAATTTTAAATTTGAAAATTTATATGGATTCTGTTATTTAATAAAGGGCCAATGAGGCTATTTTTCAAGCCATATTTTAAAGTTATAGAAAGATAGAACATCTGACATGATGTTCCCTTAACGAAATAGGCTGTTTTCTTTTAGATTTGAAAATAGCAAAAATCAGGATTTTTTTTTCTTCCATGCCATAGGCTGCCCATCTCTTTTCCACTAGATCAGCTGGAGAGGAGGAAACACCTGGCCGACTTGTAGCATGGTTTGCCATCCAGTGAATTCTGTGGTCTAGAGCTCTACTTTACTTAAATCCTTTTTGTCTTTGGAGCTTGCAGTGCTTAAACTTAACATCCCTAAAAGACAGTTTCATTTTCCACACTAGTTTATTTCTTCTACATACATATAAAATGCAATTAACGTAAACTATTACAAAGAGTCATAAGGTTGCTATGATTGTAATGCTGTGTACTTGTGGATTTTCTATATTTGTACCACTTTGAAATCTGTTCAGTGAATAGAAGCTGTTTCTCTATTCATGTTTTCAAGTATCTGAAGAATTATTTTAAGTTTATTTTGTGTTTGTGAACAAGAATAAGATTAAGAACTGAGTTGTTTAAATGACCTTCTTCTAATTCTGTGAAATCGCTACCTCTTATATGTCTCTCAGCAGCACTTTCCCAGTTAGATATGTTTCCTTCTCATCAGCTCATCATCATGTGCCTCAGAAGAGCTTTTACTTTTCCTAGAATCATTAAATAAAACATAGCAGACATTCATTCAAAAACTTATTTATTGGGCCTCAGGGGCTAGATAACACAACGTTGAAAAAATGGTCAGCATCTTAGCACACACGGAATCTATCATGCAGCAGTTGTGCATTTGAAGAGATCTAGAGCCAAGAAGGGATCCAGAGGTACTGATAACATTTCTTCCTAATGTTTCAGAAGAGTTGTCATTAAGTAGCATTTGGATTCCCTCTCTATACCCCTCACTCCTACTATGTATTCTCCTCTAAGACTATCAGCTTTGTTGCCAGAAACTCACACCCACCTTACTAGATGGTGCTATTCTACTCCTTTTTGTTCACATAATTTAACCTTCTTACTGCTTATACTATATTTGTATTTAATTCTATTGGGAGCAAGAAGGCTTTCAAGAGAGGATCATTTTGCATTAGTGTAGGAATAGTATATTAGACAGAAGTTTAGTTTAGCTGGCCAAATCATAATTAGACAAGATGTTTGTAATTTTAAAACATTGCAGATTGACCAGCTAGTTACTGAGACATAAGATTAATTGATGTTGAAAATAGTGTTCTTAAATTTGTTATCTTTGATGGCTTCAGCCTGTAAGAGCATTTTAGCATATTGAAATGCATGCTGCTTGAGATTTGTCCAGTTGGAATTTCAAAGCTTGTTGGTTCATGTTCTTGTTTACTATGAATTTTGGACCCTTTCCGACTAGGAATTAGTTACGCTTATAAACTAAGAGACTTAGTGATAGGATAGGATAGGGAGACAGTATGGAGTTGAAACAAGTAAGAAAGAAAAGTCATTGTTTGAATTTAGAGAAAGAAGGGGTTTAAGAATTCATGTAGATTTCATCAAAGCAGTAAGCAGAAAGAGTAGACTTGATAGAATAATAAAAAAGGTTTTTTAGCCAGTTTTTAGTGTCATTTAATTGACATTTGCTTTGTAAACTATACAATTTAATGTATCTGCCTTTAAGAAAAAGTCCAAAGGAAAAGCACCTATCCTGTCAAGAGTATCTAAAATGATATAGTAATAATTTGTGTAAAATTGAATTTTTGGAATAGAATTCTTCTTTGCATTTTTTTAATTGTAAAAACACTTAACATGAAATTTACCATCTTCACGATCTTTAAGTGTACAGGTCAGTAGTGTTAAGTATATTCATGATAATTAAATGGCTATCCAAAACTTTCTCGACTTGGAGAACTGAAACTTTATACCCATTAAACAACTCCCTTTTCTCTCCTCCCCCTGAACGGAATAGAATTTTCATTAAATATAAATCAAGAAACAACCTGAATTATCTTAATAGTTTGTGTTTGCAAGATTTAAAGTCATAGTCAACATTAAGTTCCTAAATTTGGGGGGTGACAGAATTTCTTCCCTTCCTCCCAACTGTTATAAATCATAAGTGGGTTGGGGTTAAATGTCTGTTAATTGGAAGGGTTTGTTACTTAATTTGGAGCCAGGGTGGGGGTGGTGGGATACATTTTCAACATTAGAATTAGTTAGCTTTAAATTTGTAGTGAATGGGGAAGGTAATAGATTTTCACAGACTATGTGTGCCTTGTCGAGAATGTCAGTTGTCTTTAAGTCTCCTTGTAACAGTCTCAAAATATTTTTTTTCTCTCAAAAACGCAGCCTGATTTTATTTGCTTGAATATTATGATAGGAATGCTTACTGATATTACTTGATAATCATGATAGCCTTGGAACTTTTATATATATATATGTGTGTGTGTGTGTGTGTGTGTGTGTGTATATAAAACTATAGCAGTATTAATAATCACAGTTGTACTTCTTTAAAACATTAAATTTGAGGAAGATCTATTTAATACTGTCTCACGTGTACATTGTTTTGCTATAGTGAGGGGGAAAATTCTTTAGATTGAGACTTAGTTTACTGATAAATGGTGTTAGTAGAGGATGAAACTAAATTATGAGAATATGAACGAGTTAGTGGAGCTGATGAATTAAAATTGTAAGTTGCTACATTGGCATTTTCTACCTCCTTTTCTGTCAGAGTATTGCTTTTCCAGCTTTTATTCTTTTTTGTGACTAAGGAAGAGATGGGAACCCGAGGTTCAAATGGAAATTTTTATGTTGTTGAGGATTTAAGCAGTAGGTACAGGAAGGGTGATTTGCCACATCAATTTGGTGCGTAAATCCGTAACGAGAGGTGATGATGGACCTGTACAAAGTGTGTAAGAAAGATAATATTGCTGAATGTTTTGCTTTTCCTGTACAGTCCACATGACTTTGTTTCATAAATGTGACTTCTTTCCTCCAAAATGCAAAATGGTCTTGTAATTTTCTATAAAATAAACAAATATACCATTTTGTCTGAAATCTATTAACTTCAGGAAGCTATTGAAAGTTCTGACTCAGGGCTTTGTAACAGTTTAAGCAGTTGTTAATTATGTTTTGGAAAATCCAGCTACATAATTCTTTAGTGCCTTGAAAGAATTATTAACTTGGCAACACTACAAAAACTCCCTACGAGGAGGTCTTTAGTGTGGGGTACCATCACACACGCGTTTATAAGGTGTATTGCTCAGCTTGTGTGATAGCAATACTGCATTGTGTGCTGGGTTTGGGTAATTCTTTAAAGGAAGTTTTCTAGACTTGCACTTGATATTTGCTTTTTTAAAAAACGGATTACTTATGGCCATGACACTGTTACCAGAAAAGTAATTCTATAAGTCATTATGCAAAGTCATGTATAAGTAGCATCTGGGAAGAAGAGCTAGGGTTCATACCATTGGCTATTTTAATATGAAAGGAGGGTCTGTTTGGTAAACACAGATTGTCTTCCCCTCATGAAAAAAAGACCTTTTTAGTTCAAGTGATTTGGTTTAAAGAAAAAATTTTTTAAGGAAATCATGGATAGCATGTTCTTAATGGTAGTCTTAGCCTGAATCTACAAAATTGGTTTTCTGTTCATTTCAGTATGCTTGTCATTCTAAATACAGTATATATTCAGTGTGATAGAAAGTTTAATTGACACATAGCAGTGTTTTGCTTTGTATTTTTTCCAGTGTTTTTTAGCTCCCACTTGATTAAAGTCTTGCTTGTGAATATAATTTCTGTACGGCAAATCATTCTTGCTTACTAGCTTTTGTTAAAAAACACTTAGCAAAAGCTAAGCTTTTAAAAATAAATGCAAACATTTACTGTTAATAAAACTTACAATTGTAATATTATATAATGCTTTTCTCTGATCTTTTGAAAGTATTCCTTATATGAATTTTCATTTTTAAGGTATTTGAAAACATATCTCAATATATCAGATCTATTATTGGAAAGGAAATTATGTCTTTGAGAAACAAGTTACATACATCTCTACTCAATATAGGACATAGATGCCTACATCTAGAAGGCTGTCATTACACTTGTTTACATTTAAGGTACCTCTCTCTAAAGGGCCAAAGAAGTTTTTCATATTTTAACACCTCACACTCTTTCAGGATATTGTGAAAGTAGTCTGAGTAGGATAAATTTGATAGGAAATCAGTCAACCAGTCAGGAAGACTCAACTTTTTTCTACAAAGGTTTATTCCTCTTCATAATTCAGGTGTAGATTTCATTTTCAAAACGTATACATTTTAAAGCAGTGATTTATTTGGCTTTTTTAGAAGTGTTTTGTGACTAAATCAGTAATTGAATGGTTTGAAGTTATTTTATTTCTCAAGTTAATAGAAGCAATTGTCATTATTGAGAGGTTGTCTGGTTCTAGTTCAAAAGATTCAGCATGTTTATCTGGAATGTCTAAGAGGAAAACCATCTGAAACAAAAATTTTTAATTGTTTCTTTGAAAAAAATGTGTATTCCAACCTTAACATTGTGAATTTATTTTTGGATAACCTCTAACTAACTGTATTTCTGTTGCTGTATAATTAGATATTTCATGGCAATATTTTTTATTAAATTGGAACTGTATAGGTTTTTAAAATAAAGACATTTTAGAAAATCTGATTTATATTTTTTATCATTGACAGTTACTCATCCTTCACAGAAATTCAAAT